CTGCATTTTTTTCTGTCTTGCTGCTTCATGTGAACTGGTAAAATCTCAAAATCAACTGACCTAAGATAACCTAGTTGTTGTTGTTGTTCTTGTTGTTGTTGTTCTTGTTGTTGTTGCTTTTAAGACATTATCAGTTTTTCCTGTGGATCCTATTGTTCATTAAAACTAACATGTCCTTGTGTTTCAATGTTTTTGTTTGTTTTTCATAAAGGAGCTATTCTTTGTCATGTTCAAGTTTGTATTTTCCCCAATAGCATGTTCAGTGCTTTTTTTAAGGTTTTTTGTTGTGTTTGTTTTTTTGTTTTTTTTTTTTTTTTTGGTTTGGTTTGTTTCTTTGTTTTCCTCTAATATTTGCCCACTGGATATCACATAAATTAAAATAATCGCACAATATCAATTTTTACTTTATTTCCTCCCCTAGTATTTATAGGGATTATTGTCCAGATCAAATCTGTTCAAAGAGATTTGTGATAGATAGATTACATCCTCATGAAGTTTTTTTCGTATCCTTTCCTCCATGATTTTCATTCTCATCTTCACCATCAAATTTAATTTCTTTGTTGCATTATTGCTTAACAATCTTTACTTATTGAACGTTTTTAGTCCATTAAAATGAAATTATTCCACCACCTTTTTTTCTGTCTTTCCTAAACTATGTGTTTCCATCGGTTCCAACATTTATGACTTTGATACTTCTGTGCTTCTATTTCCACATAATGTCTGGTTCCATGTGCTAAATCAACTGTTCGTGCTACTCTTACTGACTAAATTACTGCAATATGTCTACCATAGTAGACCTTAAAAGTTGTTGTAGATATAATCTATGTATTCCTAATATTCTTTTGTTAATCTATTTATTCTGTTGTTCCTGTCTAGTTCACTTCTCTCCATTTGTATTTCATGTGAGGATTATAGAAGTAACATCCAACCTTCCTCCTGAGTTTTTGAATGCATTTTTTAGGATCTCCTGGTTTAATGACAAACAGATTAAAAATAGCAAAAGGCTAATTTATTACTACTTCAATAGTAATAAAGACCTCATTATTTCTCATAAATTCTCAGCAGCATTTATTGTTTGCTGTTCTTGTGCTCAAGTTTATTATGGCAATTCTAGTTCAAATATTCAGATATAACTTCTTATTATAAGTAGTACTTTCAGGCTATGTAGACACCATTCAAATAGCTGATTTCAGTAAGGAATACAGAACTGTGATCTCATGCTACACAAGCATATTAAAATAAATATATTGAAATAAATTTTCTGCAGCATTCTACAGAACTTTAAGGTACTTTACTAGAAGTATAATATTAATCATAAAAAGAATGAATGGAAAAGCAGCATGATAGTTCTACAGTAATAACTACTTAAACCTCATGTGTGCTACTAAAATTATCTAACAGTCTAACAAGATGAAAGTAAGATTTTATTAAATCGGATTTTCTATTCATTATACTTTTTAATATCTCATTAGTACAGGACTAGAATAATGAAAATGAAATATTTGTACAATACTCACTTTTACATGGCATTTTTAACATTGTTTCAGGTTTATGAAGTGTCAGCTTCTCCAAAATGGTTTCACTGAAATAGTTAAGTTTAGTCTAGCTACCAAGGTTATTTGAAATAGCTTGCTTTCTTATTAATAAAAAAATTTATCTAAAATTTTTCTAAATTTATCTAAAATTTAGATAAATTATCTAATTTATCCAAAATCTGTCAGAGAAAAACAGTACAGAAACACAGACAGGTGCTATATATATGACTGGGCTAGAAATGAAAGCATATATGCATAAAATCCCATATATTCAAAATATTCAATTATGATTTCAAATAAAAAATATTTTTCAAAAATAGTGAGTTCATAAAAATCTTCCATAAAACAGCCCTCATTGCTACCTATGATTTTTTTTTTCATTTCACCTATTATCATATATTTCATGTAGAATAGTAGAGTGATGGTGGCTGAGGGAAAACAGAAGCGTGTAGTATGCTTTTGATTTTTTTTTCCCTGACTAAACATTGCATCTTGGTGCTCAATGTAAAGACTTTTAAATTGTTCCATTGAGTCAATTGGTTTTGCATCAAAACAGGAATTTCATAGATTCTTTAAAAATAGAAGTAGGTATTTTGTCCCACTGAGAAACTTTCCAAAAACTTCTGCAAGAGCAGGAGTAAAAAACATCTAAATGAACAAGAATGGTTCATATGAGAACCAAGGTTCCATTTGATTCATATAAGACCATAATGTCTTTCATCCAAATACCAGATCTTGCTTGTTTCAGGCCCAAAGAAAAAGGATTAGAGTCATACTACTTTTACATTTGCAGAGAAGAACACACCTTTTGAGGAAGGCTGAACATTAAGGGAAAGGTGATTATTTACACTATGTATTTTGCACATTTGGATGTTAAGAAACAGACTGACATAGGTCTGCTGAAGATGTAGATGTGATGCATTCTCATAGGGTACAGTACGTTCTCTTCCTTCTGCAATGCTGAGACACGCATGAGTCCATGAAGGCACAACTGTATCTTAGCATTGCATTTGAGTTAAAGTCAGATTTCAGCCTCTGTATTGTGAACATGGAATGTATTTTACATGCAATTGTATGCATAATACTGATGATTTAAGTACTGAAATGTGCACAGCACAAAGAATAATGAATACACAGAGGCAAATATGGATATCTTTGCACATATGCAGTTAAATATATCTTTCTTTCTGAGAAACAAACCTAGAGCTAAGCTTAAAAAGTCACCTATGCCACATCCAGCTTTTTACAAGGAAAAAGAAAAAAAAAAGAGAAAAGAAAAGAAAAGAAAAGAAAAGAAAAGAAAAGAAAAGAAAAGAAAAGAAAAGAAAAGAAAAGAAAAGAAAAGAAAAGAAAAGAAAAGAAAAGAAAAGAAAAGAAAAAAGAAAAGAAAAGAAAAAAGAAAAGAAAAGAAAAACCATCATGTGTCCTAGCCAAACGGCATAACCGCAGTTCTCTCAGCCGGTGAGGGAGAAAAGCAATCACCACAGCGTTGCCAACCCCGCCGCCTCTCCCCGCCGCGGCCTCCGCCCCCCGGCGGCAGGGCAGTCCCCCCGCGGAGCCCTTGCGCAGCACCGCCCGCTCCGCGGAGCCCCCGGCGGCGCTGCACTGCCACCTGGCGGCAGCGGGAGGAGCCGCACGGTACAGCTCCGTGCAGCACCGCTCCGCGGCCAATCGGAGGGGGCCTGGGGATGGCCCCCGGCCTCCAACCGCTGTGAGGAGAGCGGTCAGTGCAAGGAACGGGGCACGTCCCCGGAGTCACTGCGTTGCCGTTGCTGCACCCCAGCTCGGGTGGGCAGACGAGGGAGGCAACGCGCGCGGACCCTGCACACCCCCCAGCCCCAGATGCAGAGGACGCGCGCTGCCAAACCGGCCGCGTCCCCTCTCCGCGGCCACCTGGTCCCCCGGCGGACGCTCCCGCACGTTCCCTGGGGGAAGCGGCTCCGCTCCGCGGACAGCGGGCGCTGCTGGAGGACGGGGGGTGGGCGGCAGCGCCGCCAGGACCTGGGACCCCGTCCTGAGGGCTGGGGTCGGGGTACGGGGGCGGCGGCGGCGAGTGGGGAAAGTTGCCCGGTGCCGCGGGCGGCAGCGGGAGCGCGCCGGGGGCGGCGGCGCGGCAGTAGTATCGGCATGTGCGTGTGCGCGCCCCGCCGTGCGTGTGCGCTCTGCGGGACCGCGCGGGCGGCGTGCGCGGCGCTGAGCGCCCACCGCGCTCTCAGCTGGGGAGACCCCCTTCCTTGCCCCCCCATTCCCCTCCCCCGTTTCCCCCTCCATCCCCGGGCCTCATCCTTCCCCCCGTGTCCCCCTCCCTCCTCCCCTCCCCCCCCCCCGCCTCCTCTCTCCTCCTCCCCGCGGCGCCCCGCAACCCTGTCCCCGCGCAGCCCCCACCCGACGCCGCCCCGCCTTTCCCCCCCCCCCATACCCCCCTCCATCCTTTCCCTAATTTTCCCCTCCCGCTGCTCTCCGCCGGCCGCCCCCGCCCGCCCCGCGCGGGCGCGCGCCGGAGCGCGCGGGCGCGGGCGGGCGCGCCGCCGCGGCTGCCCGGGCACGAGCCCACCCGCGCGTGCAGCGTGTCTGTGCGTGAGTGTGTGTGCACGCGTGTGTGTGTGTGTGTGTGTGTGTGTGTGCACGCGTGTGTGTGTGCGCGTGTGTGCGCGCGCCCCTGTGTGAACGCCAGTGCCTCGGCGCCGCCCGGCCGCGGGGTGCTGTTTGTGTGCGTTTCTCACCGAAGCCTTCCCCGGCCGCAAAAAATCCTCCTCGGCTTCCTCGTCCTCCGCCGCCGCCACCGCCCCCGCGCACCGAACGGGCGCCTTCATGTGCTGCCACCATGCTTGGGCCCTGGGGATTTCGGGAGAAGTAAGTACCAGGGTTGACTTTTCTCGCGCTCTCTTTTCTTCCTCTCTTCCTTCTCCCCCTTCCACCCCCCCTCCAACGCACCCCCCCGCCCCTTCCCGCCGGGTCTTTCCTTTCTGTTTCTACCCCCCCCCCGCCCCTCCTCCGCCCCCCTTCCCCCACCCCCAGCCATTTCTCCCAATTCTGGGTGCTGCTCGGCTGGGTGGCAGTGTCCGGCTGGGGCCGCTTGCTTGCTGCTGCTGTCGGCGGTACTGAAAGCTGCTGCTTCGAGCCGGATATGCAGTGCGGTAATCTGAGGGATGAACTCTTTGGGGGAAAAAGCACACACACACACACGAGAAAAATCCCCATGCAGCCCCTTTCCCCCCCTCCCCCTCTCCCAGTATGAACCTCTGTAGGGAGCTGGCGAACAGCAGCATGCAGTCATCACACAGGGGTTTCCAGGGCGGGATTGCAACCTTGCATATAGCCAGCTACAACTTTATTTTCTCTACCTCCCATCCCCCCACCCCACCCCACCCCACCCCCCCCTTTTTTTTTTTTTTTTTTTTTTTTTCAGAGAAAGGGAGAAAGGAGGCGGGAGGGAAGATTGTATTTGCCTCCTTTGCTAACCATAATTGAATTAAAGTTGTAAAATGCCTGGGAGTTTAACACTGACCGAGCAGGTTTTCAATAGCTTTTTCTTTTTTTTCCCTCCGAAGATCTGTCAGTTAATGAATGGATCTGATCGAGCTGAGAAAGAATATGCTAGAGACATGCCTTTGAGTAAAATTTTTGCTGCCTTTTTGCAGTGAAGCCTTTTGGTTTGAGTAATTCCGATCCAGTTGACGTCTGGTCAGAATTAGAGAGATTTGCCGAGACTTCCGATTTCTTGCTGCATGACTGCCTTTGCTGCAAGTGCCAAATTTGCAGCCTTGAACCTGATGCCACAGGAGATGTCTTGCAGTGCTGAGACTTGACGGTTTTTAGGATGCGTTCCTCCAAACCAGAGTTGTGGCATGAGGATAGAAGCTCTGAGGTGGGCAATAGAAAATGCAAGCCTGCTCCAAGCCCCTAGCATTTAAGCCCAGATGATTTATTAGCTTTCCCCTACCAACACACACAATGTATATATTTTCCTTATTCACATTGCTTTTAGGCTAGTAGAAGTAGAAGAAAGCCACAAGGAGTCAGAAAGACTGCAAGAAGGAATGGAAATGGGATTTGTTTCTGACCAGATGAAATTTGGGTGTTAAATCACTGATGCAGGTCAATGGTAGGGTTCCCCCTCCACTCCCCACTGGCTTTTAATCAGCCTGGGTGTCTTCTCCCCTAAAGGATGAAGAGTACTGACAGCCATCGCTGCTTATAATCAGTAACTCTGATGCTTGGAGTGTTGGCGATGAGATATTTCCATGAGACCTATTTAGATCTCTCCGCTTCTACCAGGCTAGTTTTGCAGAACGTTGGGAATAAGCGGTATGTCAGATATGGCTGAGACTCCGAAGATGATCTGCATGCTTTACATTTTTCACAAATTTTGGGTGAGTGGTTAAAACATTTCCTCTAAGAGTGTGTGTGTGTGTGTGGCTGTGTGTGTAAGACCTCTGCCTGATATTCTTCACTGTTACATTGTACATAACTCAATTCCAATCAAGATGATTTACTTGTGTAAAGATACAAAATTTCTCTCACTCGACAGCTTTTAAGTGCACTGAGTAGGAGGCTAATGTATTTAATTTCATTACCGAATAATTCTGCCACAAAAGTCCTCTGTGGTGTGTGTGTGTGTGTGTGTGGCTGTGGCTGTGTGGCTGTGTGTGCATATGTGCAGATGGGTGTGTGCCTGTGTGCATGCATGCTTTGTAAATGTATAGATAAAAATAATCACATTAAAGAGTTTTAAGAAATAGGTGATTTGGAGAAACTGTCGGTATCCTCTCTGTTGAATTAAGCTGCTGTTTTCAGCACTGGGCATTTTTATCTGGCTTCCTACCATGGCTTTTCCAACACTGGTTAAAAATCAAGGTAGCACTTTGGCTCTGTTAAAATAGGGAAAGACCTTAATGCGCTGTTCACTGAGGAGGTTCTGAAGGGAAGGGGGAGCTGGGTAATAGGGGAGGTGGGAAACCTCGTAAAATGGTGCTTCTTTTCTCTTAAATTAGAACCGTGAAACCGAACTGACAGCCATTTTATGTATATTTATGGGGCTGGTTGTGAAAAAGAAATCCAATGAAACATTGAAATGTACCACATATGAATAGAACTAGAATGATTCCTACTGCGATCTCACCTTTTTAAACACTGCAGGCATTTGACTCACTAGGAATTTCCCATCAACCTTCTAATCAATGCATGTCATTCAGTTTTCAAAAGTGTGGGAATTAGAAGTGACAGGAGGATTTTTTTTTTTGTTTGATTACCAGTCCATTCTCCACTCCACTGAAGATATATACAAACTTTGTGTCCGCTTTAAATTTTACGGGGTTATGCTATTATGTTGCTTTCTTTTTTCTTTCCTTACCCTTACAGGAAATAAAATGTACGCTTGCTGCTCCACAGTAACTTTGGAACAGGACCTCAACAAAAAAATGCATATCTGGATGCTGCAGACGATCGCGTTTGCTTTAACATCGCTAGTCCTTTCGTGGGCAGAAAGCATCGAGTATTATGGAGAAATCTGTGATAATGCGTGTCCTTGTGAGGAGAAGGACAGCATCCTAACAGTGAGCTGTGAAAACAGAGGGATCATCAGCCTTTTTGAGATCAGTCCACCGAGGTTCCCTGTCTACCACCTCTTGTTGTCTGGGAACCTTTTGAACAGGCTGTACCCAAACCAATTTGTTAATTACACGGGGGCTTCGATTTTGCATCTAGGGAGCAATGACATACAAGACATTGAAACAGGGGCCTTTCATGGTCTGAGAGGCTTAAGAAGGCTACACTTGAACAATAACAAGCTGGAACTTCTACGAGACGACACTTTCCTTGGTCTAGAGAGTTTGGAATACCTACAGGTTGATTATAATTATATTAGCATCATTGAACCTAATGCCTTCAGCAAACTGCATTTGCTGCAGGTGCTGATTCTCAATGATAACCTCCTCTCCAGTTTGCCCAACAACCTTTTCCGTTTTGTGCCCTTAACTCACTTGGATCTGAGGGGTAACCGGCTGAAGCTGTTGCCCTATGTGGGCCTTTTGCAGCACATGGATAAAGTGGTGGAGCTGCAGCTGGAGGAAAACCCCTGGAATTGTTCTTGTGAGTTGATTGCTCTAAAGGATTGGCTAGACAGTATCTCCTACTCTGCACTGGTGGGAGATGTGGTTTGTGAGACCCCTTTTCGCTTACATGGTCGAGATTTGGATGAAGTTTCCAAGCAGGAGCTTTGCCCCAGGAGACTCATCTCGGATTACGAAATGAGACCACAGACACCATTGAGCACCACAGGGTATTTCCACACTACCCCAGCCTCAGTCAACTCTGTGGCCACTTCTTCTTCAGCTGTTTACAAATCCCCCTTGAAGCCCCCCAAAGGGACCCGCCAACCCAACAAGACGAGGGTGCGACCCACCTCCCGTCTGCCCTCCAAAGACCTGGGATACAGCAACTACGGACCCAGCATTGCCTACCAGACCAAATCCCCGGTGCCTTTGGAGTGTCCCACTGCCTGCACTTGCAACTTGCAGATTTCTGACCTGGGCCTCAATGTCAATTGTCAGGAGAGGAAGATTGAGAGCATTTCTGAGCTACAGCCCAAACCTTATAATCCTAAGAAGATGTATCTGACAGAAAACTACATCGCTCTGGTACGCAGGGCAGATTTTGTGGATGCCACCGGGCTGGATTTACTGCACCTGGGCAATAATCGTATCTCGGTCATTCAGGACCGGGCTTTTGGGGATTTAACTAATTTGCGAAGGCTGTACCTGAATGGGAACCGGATCGAGCGGCTGAGCCCAGAGCTGTTCTATGGGCTACAAAGCCTACAGTACCTTTTCCTGCAGTATAATGTCATCCGGGAGATAGAGGCGGGCACCTTTGAACCTGTCCCCAACCTTCAGCTCTTGTTTTTGAATAACAATCTTCTGAGATCTTTGCCTGGGAACATTTTTTCTGGTCTCTCCCTCTACAGGCTGAGCCTGCGGAGCAACCACTTCTCCTACCTGCCAGTGAGCGGGGTGCTGGACCAGCTGAAATCCTTGCTGCAGATCGACCTACACGAGAACCCCTGGGACTGTACCTGCGACGTGGTAGGCATGAAGCTGTGGCTGGAGCAGCTTAACACTGGTGTCCTGGTGGACCAGGTGATCTGCGAGTCCCCGAAGAAATTCGCCCAGAGCGACATGCGAGCTGTCCGGGCAGAGCTGCTGTGCCCCGACTACTCGGACATCGTCGTCTCCACGCCCACGCCGTCCCCGGGCCAGCTCCCGGCCAGGACCACCCCCTCCTCCTCCACCGTGCGCCTCAATGGCACGGCGGCGGTGGGCGGCTCCACGCCTGCGGGCGGCGGCGGCGGCGGCTCCTCGGTGCCGCTCTCGGTGCTGATCCTCAGCCTGCTGCTGGTCTTCATCATGTCGGTCTTCGTGGCGGCGGGGCTCTTCGTGTTAGTGATGAAGCGGCGCAAGAAGGGCCAGGGTGACCACGCCAGCGCCAACAACTCCGACGTGAGCTCCTTCAACATGCAGTACAGCGTCTACAGCGGCGCCCACCACCACCACCACCACCCGCACCTCCAGCAGCACCCTCCCCACCGCGGCGGCGGCGGCGGGGGGGGCGTAGTGCTGCCCAAAGTGAAGACCCCCGCCGGTCACGTCTACGAGTACATCCCGCACCCCTTGGGCCACATGTGCAAAAATCCCATCTACCGCTCCCGGGAGGGCAACGCGGGCGAGGATTATAAAGACCTCCACGAGCTCAAGGTCACCTACAGCAGCCACCCCCTGCAAGCTGGGGGGGGCACCCAGCCTCCCCCGCCGCCCCCGCCGCCGACGGCGCCCGGCGGGGAGGATGCGCCTGGGCGCAGCCCCGCGTACAGCGTGAGCACCATCGAGCCGCGAGAGGAGCTGCTCTCCCCGGTGCAAGACGCCGATCGCTTTTACAGGGGCATTTTGGAGCCCGACAAACACTCCTCCTCCTCCACGCTGGGCACAGCCGGCTCCTCCCTCCCCGACTACCCCAAGCTCCCCGCCGCCTACACCTATTCCCCCAACTATGACCTTAGGCGTCCCCACCAGTACTTGCACCCGGGGCCGGGGGACGGCAGGCTCCGGGAGACGGTGCTCTACAGTCCCCCGAGTACTGTCTATGTAGAGCCCAACAGGAACGAGTACCTGGAGCTAAAAGCAAAACTAAACGCAGAGCCGGACTACCTCGAAGTGCTGGAAAAACAGACCACATTCAGCCAGTTCTGAGAAACAGTGCTTCTCCCCTTTCCCCGCCAACCACAGCAGCTCCTTCTCTAGAGTATTTGTATTTAATAACCACATGCAAAACAAAGAAACATAAATGCTGACCTCCCCCTGCCCCACCTCACCCCCCTCTTTTTTCCCCTTAAATTCATTTTATTGTAGGGTGAAGTGCCTTGGCACGGGATTTTTCAGCTTTTGGGAATGATTCTGAAAGAGTGTGCTGTTTATTTTATTTCATTTTCGGCTGCCTTTATTTTTTTATTATTTTTTTTTTATTTTTTATTTTTTACTCTGGAAGTAGAAAACCACCTATTATGTAAACTGGGCACAACACTGGTATTGTGCATGAGTCTATGTGTGCTTGGGAAAGGTGGCAGGAGGGTCTTGTCAGGTCATATTCAGGTTACAAGTACAAAAGTCATGGTCCTTGTGTTTTTTTTTTTGTTTGTTTTGTTTTGTTTTGTTTTGTTTTGTGTGTCAGTGTTTTTGTTTTGTTTTGTTTTCTTTTAAACCAACATTGTTTAGTTTTATTTTCTTTCTGGTTATGTACAGCGCACATTTTCCCCTTTTAGCCATGTTAGCCATGGGTGAGTTTAAATGGCTTTTATGGAGAGATTAGCACACCCCGACTTTAATACAAGGTTTCCTTTTTTTAAGGATGTGTTTGTATGCTTTCTGGACTTTTGAATTAAAATATATATATATATATTATGATCTTTAAAAGGATCGCTGTAGATGTGGACAAATCATTAAAGAGTGCAGAGATATATGATCCATAACTGGGTAGTGAAAATAACTTATTGATGAAATATAAAAAAAATATTTTATTGTAGCACCTATTTTTATATGCACATTAGCATTTCTCTTTCCTTCACTATTTTAGGAACAAATCCTGCAAATTCTTACTCACTGAAGTATCTTTACTTGTGAAAGAAGTCCCAGCTTAAACCTTCATCCTGCAGGCACTTAAGCACATGAAAAACTTTAATCATGTGTGTAACCCTGCAGAGCATTAATATACTCATCATTCTTACAAGTAAAACTACTGGGACTTTTTTTTTTTTTTTTTTTTTTTTTTTTTCCAGGATGGGTTCCAAAGTCTGCAGATGCTCTGAAGTGTTGCACTACATTGAGAGCTGCTTTTTTTTTTTTTTCCTTTTTTTTTCTCAAAGCCAATACAGTATCATGATAACCTTATAAATCATTATACATAATCCCAATTAAGACCAAATCTTAACAGACAATCTAAGACATATAACCTGTTCACAATAGGAAAAAATGATGTTTCTTTATGCTAAAATATACGTTTTAGCAACCTCCTGCTCAGGCATCTAGTGGGGCAAGCTAGTGAGGGACATGTAGTAGGCATTCATTTTAACAGGAAAAAAAATGCTTTGGTTTTATCAGTATTCTTTCTCTTTTTTGTTGTTCCCCCTTTTTCTTTCTTTCTTTCTTTCTTTCTTTCTTTCTTTCTTTCTTTCTTTCTTTCTTTCTTTCTTTCTTTCTTTCTTTCTTTCTTTCTTTCTTTCTTTCTTTCTTTCTTTCTTTCTTTCTTTCTTTCTTTCTTTCTTTCTTTCTTTCTTTCTTTCTTTCTTTCTTTCTTTCTTTCTTTCTTTCTTTCTCTTTCATTCATTAGTTAACCAAAACACAATGACTTGACAGTGGTTGTAGCCAGTTTCTGATTGCTTAGTATGGACCCTCATGTTTACTGGCATTTCAGAAGATCAAACGATGGACTGTACACATCTATTTACAATATCTTTACCCCTTTGGGCAGCAGGCAATGGCAAGTATATTGATAAACACAGCATCACTGTAAGATGGGACAACTGATGTCTCTCATATGTATCCCAGCACATGTGATTTTTTAATAGTTTCTGAATAAACACTTGATAAATATTTCAAATGTGAGAATATGAAATGATGAGTATCTGAATTTTAAAATTTCTTGCCAATATCATCTGTTTATTTGTTGGTTTCTCTTTACTAGCAATTATGCTTCATCAGAAAGTCATAACATTTTTAGGCATCATATAATGTGTTCTTTATCTTTAAAACGCAATATACGGTCATTACCAGCATATATAACATGGGTCAGAACTACACATAAATAAATGTCTCATCAACATATTGAGTAGGATAGTTCTGTATTTACATTTTGTTTCCTTGATAAAGTGGTCTTCAGTATATGGAAAAGGGTATATTTCACATGGGATCTTCTCTTTCTTGACAAGGTTGTCATGTTTGGTATTGTTTGCAGAGTTGATCACTAGTACATCTCTTATTGCAAAAGGGTTCTGTTCTGTTATGATTTTCCTATCCATGTGCAGTATGTCACTTTTTACAGAAACAAAGCTATATAGCTGGTCCTTTGGAATTCAAGATATATGTTTGGTTGGCATGTGTTCTTTCCTCTGTGGCACCAACACAGAGCAAAAGAAAAAAAAAAAAAAAAAAGCAAAACCCCCCACAGGACTTTATTTAACTTGGACAGTTTATTATATGGAGTGTTATTTCAGTTTGAAGTGCAGATAGAGTGTTCTTTTGTCACAAGAGAAATAACTTATCTATTATCTGTACTGCTCTTTATTTCCTGCGGATTTCTCATTGACACTAGTGAGAAATGTGACTACTGCTACCTGAGGTGCAGTTCTGGAACCCTAATTTTGAATTACCTCCTTTCTAACTATTGCTGAAACCACTGTCCTGGTTCTCCTTTCATTTAAACTCAGTAAAGGCCCACTGTTGCTAAATGGGTATAAGTAAGGAAATTTTCAGCTTCACTGGCTTTGTCATTCAGTAAGAGGAAGGAAGGCTTACTCAGTAAGAATTGAATGAGAAATTCCTGCAAACAGTGTGCAGCTTTTCATGTGTATATGTATTTTTTTTCTCTCTGGGTCTAAACTTATAAACAGGAGTTTGCATGGGATTCAACAGAAATGTAGGATTAGGTTCTTAATGTGAAAGGTACATTTTACATGGCATTCTGCCACAAAGAGGCAGCATCCACAAATGAGTAAATGAACAGGAATTGCTTGAATTTATAGCCAATTATTAAATAGCCAATAACTATTCCTCAGCAATCTCTTTATGCTTGCATTCTGATGTTGCTATTTCTGAGGCTGGTAATACTGATGCTTCCACATTTTCTAAATATATTTAATAACAGGATTTGAATTTTTTTTCTCTTAGCATCTATATGAAAATCAGAACAATTCATTTAAATTCCTTCAATTTCTCATTTTCAGTAGAAAAAATATATTATTTTACTATATAGTAGTTCCATTACTGGAGAAAGAAAGATGCTTAAGTTACCTTCAGATAGTGCATTCTTGAAGACAAATCTTCAAAAAGGATGCAGAGTGTAAAATAGTATCTTCAGTCTATAATTATCCTGCAGTACACCTGACAGGGCTATTTGTGAATGAGGACTTTAATGGAAGCAGGATTTCCCACTCAATGGCTACAATGATATACCATCTATGGAAAATTATAGTAAGAAAAAGTAGATGGAAATGTCAGTTGACAAAAGATTTGAAATTACAGAATAAGTTTTTTGTTTGTTTGTTTGTTTGTTTTGTTTTGTTTGTTTAAGAAAAAGTGTTGTATATGAATATGTCTCTGTTTTGTTAACAAGATGGTTGAAAGCTGAATGATGGTTAGTGCTGACCAAAGGGGTAAAAGTGTCAGAAGTAAAAAAACATTTATCCCTATTTTAAGAATTCAAAATATTATTTTAGCCTGTTTTAGGCTTATATCAGACTATTTTAGTCCGGTGGCCAGACTGATTTATTTATTTATTTTTGATGAGTTATATTGAGCTTACTGAATCACTCATATGGCCTCACTTTTTTTTTTTTTTTTTTTCTTTTTCCAAAAAGTGCATGAAATTCTGTAATAAAAGATGAAAAAAGGTGGAAAAGACTTCTCAATGTTACTACTAGAATCAAAACATGGACCATGATAATACAGAACATTTAAGCTCATCAAATAAAAGAAATTCTTTGTATTTTCTGTTGCTTTTCAGTATTTTGCCAATTCAATGCCCTAAATATTCATGGTGAGTTTAAGGGTGAGATTCTTTTTTCTCTCTAACAGTCTAACATAAATGCAGCTTCCAATATAATGCCTCTAGGGCCTAAATTCTATCACTTTTTTTTTTTTTTTTGTCCCATTATTTTATTGGTCACTTAAGTTTGTAAAAACATATACAGATGATTCTGTATACTGCAGTGTTTAATTTCTGAATGTTTTCCTATGTTTTAATTTTTGAAAAACACATCTTCATGTGTTTTCTTGTATTTTCATTTTTTTTCTATAATGTTTTCCTTTTTTTGGTAATGTTTCTTAGGAGCATTTCCTTTATATGTTAGATGTAGTGGTACCTTTTCTCATATCACATAATAATTATTAAAGTAATATGACAAAAATAATATTTAAATATCATTAATTAAGAGCCTCTGTCCCACAGAAAACACATCTAAGAAAATATATCTGAAAAGTCACTAACAGATAATCATGGTTGGTTGTAAAATATGAAGGTAATATCCAAGTTCTTGAGGTTGCTTAGACACATTTGAGCTGGAGCTCAAATGTGACCAGTGTGTTGTGTGTTTCTTACAGAAACTTAGAAGTCTGAGTCTGCTTAATGCATATGGTTCCCACTCAGGGCAGTCTGCTAAAGCAAATCCTGAAGGATCAGACTTGATGACAGGGTGAATAACAGCTTCTTCATTTTTAGAGAGAAGGCTCTTTATATTACCTGGTGTCTCTGGGGATACTGAATAGCCTTTCATGTGAGTAAAAACTGGCATACTGAAATGCAGCATCTCCAAAACAGCCCCCAGAGAAGGGTGCCAGAATCTTTGGTTGTCTCATGCAGAACTGAGAATGATATTGGTACTACTGGCATTAAGAAGAAAAATTAAGGGAGAAAAGAGAGAATGGCAGACACAATTCCATAGCCATCAGCCTTCAAATGGTCTTAACGCTTGTATTGATTAATTGATTGTAGGGAACTTGCACCTCCTTTCTGCAACATCCATTTGTTCTGGAGAGTGTAGAACCTCAAGCCAAAGAGTGACAACTGGGTGGAGAAGTAGATGTGTGAGGTGGTTGTGTGAGAAGTTTGGACAGAATAGCAGCACTATGAATGAGGCAGCCACTTGTTCATTTGAATAATTTCCCAAATCTTCTAAGAAAATTTGCAATGTGCTCTGCTGTAACGAAAGCATATAAATCTCCTTTCAGTCAAGCAATACTACCTTTTGGATTTGTCTTTATCCATCTATGTATAAACACTATCCTAATATATATATATATATCACAACTCTTTACAATTTATATTATTTTCTTACATTTCATTATTTAGCTACATTTCAGAGTACCTAGTAGTATGATAACACTTCAGAAATACTATGCACTTTTGGACTATTTTTTTATTCTTAAAGCACTGAACAGAACATTGTTAGGAAGCACAAAGAAATGCATTTAGGTCATAGGAACCAGAGGCATTTAATTCACTGAATATACAAAGAAATAAACTGTAATGAAGTTTGTAATCAAATGGTTATCAAATTAACTATTTAACGTATAGCTAATGGGCCATATTTTGCCTTCTAGTGGTATAAAACTGGATTCCATTGACTTGTCAAAGTTACAAAACATTTACCTTGCTCTTGTGAGTTGGGCTTTATGTCACTGAAATAAGCCATTCTCTTAGCATTATTCTTTCGTAAATGGAAAAATTTGAATAAAATAGTCATAAACATTTGCATTACTACTATTTACCCTCAAAATGAATTACATCTATTTCCAATCTGCTGACAAATTAACTGAACATTAATATAGTATATCACTGTGAAATTTATCTCAGAACCATAATGTCCTGATTATGTGGGGAAGTTCAATTTACATATACGTATGTAGCCCTTGCGCATAATGGACAAAATGAAGTGACAACATGTTTTATTTAATTCTGTGGGCTTGGTACTCCAACCTTGAATTAGGTTTGATAAAAATTATTTTTCATGTCATGTTTTGTTTATTTACTTGTTTGTTTGTTTTCACTCATTGAGCGTATCACCATTTTTACTGTAGTTGTGCAGCCTTATATTTACAATATATTTAAGTTTTGCAGAAAACTGTGGCTGATGTCAAAACTAAAAGAAGATTTTTATTTTTGTTCTTTCTGTTTGGACACATTTTTAACTGTTATATATCATGACATTGTTTGGGGTGACCTTCCAAAAATACACCTACAGTGGGTAAGATAGAGTCAGATATATGGGTAAGATAAATGTCTAGTTTAATATATCATGTAATAAAAACATTTTATTGTCATGATTTCAAAAATATATATGATTTTGTGAGTGTTAGATTATCAATACATTCAACCATTCTGTTAAATTTGTAGCGATATCTTGACAAAGAAAAAAAAATAAAAGTTTATATTCC